AGTGCATATGTCTTTGGCGTGAATGTTTTGACTTTGCAATGTGGTGTTGCTCTTTGTACATATTTAAGATTACATCACTAAGTAGCATATGGTCTTGCAAATGAAAATGGGAGATTGCAGTTTTAATTATCTTTTCGCAGGGCTTTGTAACGTTGAGACCTTGCAAGCATAGAACTTTTGTAGTCAGAATTGAGGCTTTTGCCAAAGATAACTGAAGATAATACTGAGAACAAGACTGTATAATTAAATAAAAAAGATATATTTTAGAGGATAAGTAAAATAGAAAAAGAATGGACATGTCATCACAAGGTTTTGAAGAAAGAAAATTAGAAAAATGAGGAATGAACTTCTAGGTAGCAAATACACATGGACCAAAAGGCCTTAAGCTAGAAATGATTCAGGAAGTGAGAATGTGCCTAGGATCCAGACTAGAAAGTGCTAGAGAGAATCAAATCAAATCAGATCACCTAGTTTGTATTGTAGCATAGAGGAAGTTATAGTGTAAGATGTAAGGTGTGATCTCACAATATATTAGAAGAGACCCCCCATTTGGGGGGATTGGTGAGGGTTGAACCCAGGAGTACTTAACCACTGAGCTCTTTTTATTTTTTGAGACAGGTTTTCACTAAGTTGCTTAGGACCTCACTAAATTGCCAAGGCTGGCTTTGAACTTGTAATCCTTCTACCTCAGTTTTGGGAGCTGCTGGGATTACAGGAACACACCACCATGCTAAGCTTCATTTTTTAAAATAACAGATCCTATAACTAGGAGAAGGCATAGAACAGAAGCCAGGAAGCATAAAATGGAGTTACACCTAAAATCCTTATTTTGCAAATAGATGTTGGAAAAATTTTTTAACTTTCTATGTTTTTATATTAAGGTACTACTCTTTTGGAGCAGGGTTTTTCCAATCTATATTTTGAGTTTAGAGTTAGTTTTAGGTTAAGATACGAAAAGGAAATTTTCTAAGGGTGCATCAAAGGACTTAGTGGTAAAAGACTATAGTGCATTTGAGGAAAAATGGTAAAAAGATTTTTGGACCCTGTGATATCTGACCTGGATTTTAGGACTGAACTTCCAAGTACTAATCTTAAAATGAGGATGATATATATCTTTTTTTCCTGTTCCTTTTGCCCAAGGCTCTTGGCCTAAAGGCCATAATGAAGAACTACTGCAAATGACTGTATAAGAAAGTAGGTCAGGGGCTTTGAGAGATTCACACACACACACACACTCACACATGTTATAGGAGACTGTTACAGTTAATTCTTTATATAAAAGGAACAACCCACTGAATCTGGTGCGTTTAAAACTATCGTCATATAAAACACTGGTTGGGACATTCAAAACAACTTAAACCATATTTCTAAGGTGTCTCCTGATTGAGGAAGTGGGCAGTAGGAATGGAGAAAGAATAAAACAAAGAGTCTGCCACTCAGTGTTACTGGACCTTCTAGACAAGAGCTTTAATCAAGTGGCAAGGTTTCCACCACCCTAGATCTGTCCCATTAAAAGTAACCACAGAACATCCAACTGCCCTCCTGATGTCACTAGATTCCACACCGCCCTGTCATCACATTCCACATTCTCCTCTGTTGCTAGGTACCCTGGGCTCTCTTATTTTCCAAAGCTCCAGGTGCTGTTTTCCCTTGGGACTCAAATACAGAGTCTTTGGTTCAAATGTTATGGTACCCAGGCTGAATCCTTGAGAGAAGAATCTTCACCAGGGCCTGTGAACCTGAAGGCCATCCCCACAGCCTACACACGACACTACGTAGCCAGTGGTTCCCACACGCCAGCAGCCACTCAGGATGGAGCAGACCATGTTGGGTAAGGAAGCAGATTGCCCCTTTCAGGCAGTGAACTGATGTGAATTGGTTCCCATAAACAGGAGTCTGAAGTCTGTGATTTTAATTTCTAAATAAGTACCTTTAAAGAAGAGAGAACAAAAATCTTCAATGTGGTTACATGAAGCTCAACAATATTAAATTGCTTATTTATCCTCAGCTTACTATTCACTCTCTGTTCTTGACTGAATTTTTAAAATTAAAGACATCAAAAACTTTGTTTTAAATTTTGATTTATGGAACAGTACCATGAGACATTATTTTTTTAACCGCTTAAATTAAAAAATTGGTGAACGTGTATTTGATACAAATGAATATAAATCAGTCATTTGTTCTTTACAAAACATACTCATTTATTCAGAAAAGAAATATGTAAAGCTCTTGAATTTGGTTACCTTGGTAACATCTGGAGTGAACTACTCCATCTAAAAATATTTCTCCTTTATTGTTTATATTTTATGCTGAAACTATAATTAAATGACATTTATTAAAGTCTCTCATGATAAATGATGTTTATCTTACCTAAAAATGAGTAAATGATATAGTTTTATGAGATATATGTGGTGATTTTAGATTAAAGAAATAGATAAGGCATGTTTAATTTTTAACTATAAAAGAAATTGAATTTTTATGTTAATGTGTATTTAATTTTTAATTATTTAGGGTTATTTATTCATTATTGCTAAGGCTTTTTATGTTAAGTGTTTAGTACCTTTTTAAAAAGGGTTCTAGTACACAAATGCTAAATCGTATTTTTCCTTCATAAATTAAATATAAGTAATTGAACTATATTTGAATATGCCCATTATGATTTTTTTTGGACTTTCTTAAAAAGAAAAAACTTTAAAAATCAGAATTAACCTGTTATACATTAGCATAAGGACTTCAATTCAAATAAAGAGACATGAGCAACTTTCTAAATTACTTATACAAATCCTCCCCCTAATTCTGTACGTCAAAGCTCTGGACATTTTATCGTTAAAAGCTTATTTTTTTTATTTCCCAAATTAATAGTATAAAAACTGCTGTGTCATTACTTATGGGTAGTTTCCTCTATTATCTTGCATATATTCTATATGTATGAATTCTTTTATTGGGCAGGAGGATGGGGATTGAGCCTAGGGGTATTTTACTGTTGAGCTATGTCCCTAGTCCTTTTTATTTTTTATTTTGAGACTGAGTCTTGCTAAATTGCTTAGAGCCTCCTTACATGACTGAGATTTGCCTCTAATTTTCCTCCAGAGTTGCTGGAGTGAAAGGAGTGGGCCATCGCATCTGGCCATAAACTTTTTTGAATTGGTATATAAAAAGAATAATTGAGCAGAATGTGATATCGGAATATGTTTGAACTCTTTTTTAGAAAATAGTTTTAAAATCCATCTTAAAATACTGTTCTGAAAATTAAATTTAAACATAATGCCCTGTGTTTTAATTCCTTATTAAAGCCCTGAACTTCATCCTGGGCCCTGGCCTCTCCTGTGTCCATTCTTACCTGTTTGTAACTCTCTATGGTTGTCCCTTCTTCTATATTGGCACTACTTTAGTTTGAGCTTTCAAAGATGCCAGCTTATATGACATCTAAAATATCATTTTTTTTCCACTTCACTTCTCACAATAAAATTAAAATTGCTTCTGTTTGTTCTCAGAGTCAACTCCAAGCCCTTTGATATACAAAACACTTCCTGGGGTGCTCTCATCCTGTTAGATTTATTTCCCCTCATTTTCTCCTTAGTGCTCTTGCTTTCATCCTTCTTCTCACCTGCCCTGTGTGTCCTTCCATCTGAGACTTTGCAAAGCTGACACTTCTATAGGGAATGCTCTCCCCAGACTTCAGCGGCTCATGGCTTACTCATCCTGTGGAATTCGATTGACATTACCTTCTTCAGAAAGCCTGCTGTCTTATTCCTTGTACTGGATTATAGCCTTTTTGCTCTGCATTTGAATTGCATGTTTAATTCTCTATTTTTAAAAAATTATCTGTAAACTCATTGAGGCAGAGTCTCTAGAGGCCAAATTTTTGAACCCATACTGGCCACAGGATAGGCCCTTAAGAAATGTTTGTGGAAAACATGGATGAACAGGAGATATAGTACTCCTTTAGAATTTAAATATTTCCATGAATATAATTTATTTTAAGGTACAAAGTATTTTGTTCCACCCACAAATATAATGAATACTTGATAATATTCAGGAATCAGACAAGAAAATCAAAAGTAATGAATATTATGCCTCTTGTTTGCTTACATTCATATAGTTTCCTAAATAGCCTTTAAAGAAAACAATTGAACACCTCTGTCCATCATAATTCTTTATAATTAGTAGCAAATTCTCCTCATATAGGTAAAGACGAATTAATTAAGAAAACAGAATATTGTTTTGTGTAAACTTGGTCTATGTGTTTTGTTTTCAGAAATTTGGGATCATATTGGCTACACTATCTAAAGTTTTCAAGCCAGTACTTTATGATTCACATTTTTCTTTATCTAAAATTGGACTATTGAGTGACTGTATAATATTCGAACCATTCCAACATTTATTAATCCAATATTCTATTTTTGTTGCTTTATGTCACCTCCAAATTTTTGCTACTCAAATTCACACTGATGTTAAGTGTATTTTTTTAAACTTATTCAGAGACATACATAATGATTAGGTTTCTTAGGTTTAAAAATCTCAGAAGTGTAATGACCATAGCAAAGTTTATGAGCACTTCTAGTGTTTTAGATGCATATTAAAACTCATAAAGGTTGTACCAATGTACATCTCCATTAACCAGTGATAGGTAATGCTTTTTATTAGAGACTTCTTGGTAAATCTGGATATTCTCACTGGAGAAATAAAATTTATTTGCAAAGTAATTGAGAATTTATTTTATTCTTTGCTTAAATTTACTTTACTTTGAGATGACATTTGATATTCAACTGTTTATTTTATCTTCTTCATATTATTTCACGTCTTGTGCTTTGATGTGCCTGTTAGATTAAAAATAACAATAGCTGCATTGCAAGGTTACTGTTTAGGATAAATTACATGTTATATATAAAATTAGTTGGCACAATGTCACACATAATAGGAACTCAGCAAATGCAAGTTGAAGTCGAAAAGGAGAACATATTAATTAAAATAAAAATATAAATTTTTCTTTCCAACAGATGATTCTGCTGCAGAGAGCTTTAATGGCAATGAGACTCTGGGCCACAGTTCAATTGCTTCAGGGGGAACACACAGCAGGGAGATGGGAGACTCCAACAGTGATGGCAAGACTGGGGTGGAACAGGATGAACAGCCACTGAATCTGAGTGACAGTCCCCTCTCTGCACAGCTGACTTCGGAATACAGAATAGATGATCACAGCAGTAATGGGAAAAGCAAATATAAGAATCTTCTAATTTCTGACCTCAAGATGGAGCGAGAGGCGAGAGAAAATGGAAGCAAGGTAAGGTCATGTTACAATTTCCAGAGAATTTTTAAGTTGGTCATGAAGGTCACAAAGAAGCATCTATATGTGCTGGAGATAACGATTGTGGCCAATAAAATATTTAAAGCAAATCCCCAAAATATGTTACCAAGAATCTTATAATCATGCATATTGTGTGTCCATAAAATATGGTTTCAGTAAAAAGATGAGTAAATTGGATCATGTCTCAAAACTCTTGGTATTTTTGACAGAATTGCCTGATTTCATGTATCTCATTTATATAATCTACTTATGGATCTGTCTCTGGGAATTTATAGAGCTCAGGTGTGAAAGTTTCAGTCTCAGTACACAATTTTCAACTATAAAAAGATCACTATCTTGTTTCTCTAGATTGGATAGGTGTGTGTAGCAATAACATTTCAATTAAATTCTCCAGTTTGCTTTCGAGACCTGGGGACTGTAGTCAGTAATTTACTTTCTGGCACCAGAGAACTATTTAGTGTCAGTTTCCTGGATGAAATCTGTGGATTAAATACCCACTTAAAGAAGTGATTCATCATAAATTATATTACACAAAAGACAGAAACATGTTTCAGACATATTATCTAAATTTTCTAGATGCTTTGCATTAGACTACGTGACAACCACCCACCAATTTATTTTTAAAAATTAAGCTTAAATGTATACAATTTTGAAATTGCTGAGGCTGGTGAATTTTCTGTGTAACTTTTGAAGATGTACTTTGGGGACACAGGAGGATTTTTATGCAATGTACATTTTTATGTCCTTCTCTTGCCTCTACCTCTAAGATGGAGTTGTAGACTTGTTTCTGACATGCATTCCTAAAAATGAAACGTCTTAATCTGGATTAATTTCTGAATTTGCTGAGGCACTATGCTTCCTAAATTGGCTCTATTTAAATCATCTCCTTGCCTGAGGGTGTGTCGTTTCATCTTCTTTTAAGCAAGTCACTAGACATCACCAGACACTTAAGCTCTTCTGCCTGTGGGAGGCTGCTACAACTTTTGCTGTGGTAAATGCACAAATGTCCTCAGTGGTTTGAAGCCGGATCACACAAGCACAAATGATTTTATATTTGCTAACATGATCTGAATCACTGCATACATTTTACAGAACAAAATCATCCTAAACGTTTTCCCGCCCACCACATTACCCTGTCTTTACAAGGATTAAAGAATCATGAAACATCCTTCTTATGCCATGTGCTTGTTCAATTTTTTTTTCCCTAAAATTATCCAGTGGTTTGATCTTCTCTTCTTTCTCCCCTTGTTCAATGTTATCTGGGGAACTATGCTCATTAAAGCATGTTCCTGCACACATTAACCAGAATGAAATTACCTTTTAGCTCTATTAAAATACAGTTATGAAACACAGATTGTTGGGGCTATTATCTGAGAGTAAAATAAGCAAAGGACTAGCACAGAAGGAGATACTCTTGAGGTAGCATCAGTTACCAATTATTAACCAAACAGCCAACAGAGAAGAAGCCAGTGAGCCTAAGAAGAATCAGAAGGGTACAGTATATAAAAGCCAACCAAGTTCACCTTTCAAGGAGATGTTGGTCAATCTGGTGAACAATGCTGAGAAATAAAATAAGATGAAGGTATAAAATAATGGAACTTATACTCATTTAACTCTGGATATCTGTATTAAAACATCATTAGACCTTACAGTTATACAATTAAAAAAAATAAACCTGGCATACTCAAAGCAGTAGTATAGGTAGCAGAGACAGCTCACAGAAATATCAGTCTTTATTTATAAGACACTTAACTATACATAGTTTTGGGGAAGAGGGTACATATGCATAGAAAAACTTTTTACTGCAAGTATAGACAAACATTCTTTCCTAGGCTAAAACATAGAGTTCAAGTAAAAATATATTATTTCTATTGATGTAATAGTCAAAATGTGCTTCCTAGAGGAAATGAGTCTTGGACTTGAAGGGAATGTGAGATTACCATTATTTTTCAGCCATCTCTTGCTAGATACTGTGAAGATCCTTTAATGCAGACAGGGAAGAATCTTGGTCTCAGGCTAGAGAGCCATTGGCCATTTCAATCTGTGTATGACTTCATATCATGGCATGTGAGGAAGAATCTTCCATTACAACATGAGATAAACTATTTGCCACCAATTAATTCATTTGCCAAATATTTATTGAGGAGTTATACTTGTAAGATACTACTGTAGGAAGCAAAAATATGCAAATGAGTGAAGAAGGGTCCTTGCCCTTCAACAGCTCCTGGTATAGCAAAAAAGGGAGCTGAATTTATGCTTACAGTCTAATATATAAATGTTTTTATACCAGGGATTAAACTCAGGGGCACTCAACCACTGAGCCACATCCCCAGCCCTATTTTGTATTTTGTTTAGAGACAGGGTCTCACTGAGTTGCTTAGCACCTACCTTTACTGAAACTGGCTTTGAACTTGAGATCCTCCTGCCTCAGCCTCCCAAGCTGCTGGGAATATGGGTGTGTGCCATCATGCCAGGTTGATTATGGTCTGATTCTTTAAGTGATACAATGTCATATGGACAGGGTGAAATGAGAGAACGAAGATGGGGAACCCAAGGGACCATACTGATTCTTTTTTTGTTTTGTAGAACAGATTTTTTTTTCTCTTTCAAAAGTTTAATAAAGTTGACAAATTTCTAGTAAGACAGGGAAAAAGTATGAAACAAGGCACAAATTATATTCTTTCTCAGAAATATAAAAATAAACATTAATACTAATGCTGTTCCTTCTGTTATATTAAACATAATGAATAAATAGCCTTGTGGCAATACTTTGTTATTGTTGTTCTTTTTCTTAAGGATGACTGGGGGGAGAAAGTGGTACCAGAGATGAATATAGAAGGGCAAGTGGGAATTACTCGGATAAAGATTATTAATGGTAGAGGGTTAAGTGTGTTTTGAGGCATTCATCTATGAGAACACCTGCTTGGCTAGGAGATTTGCAAAAATCTTAGAATGGCCACAGGAGAAGGGGATGTGCAATATAACTAAGTACAAAGAGGCTGCGTCATTAAAGGATTTAGGCCACTTTAATACTTTGGATTATGATCAATAGGTAGAGTTAAGTATGATAATCTTGTAGTCATCTTGGAATCTGAGAAAAATTATTCCGGCAATAATTGTGGTAGTGAATTAATAAGAAAGGAACTCAGGGAAGGGGAAATAAATTTGATTAGAGAGCTACTCTAGCAACCCAAGAGAAAAATAATAACATTTAAAGTCAAATAAATGGAAATGGGAATGGAAAGCAGATATAAAAACAAATGGAACTGTTACTTTTATACTTCTGATGTTTATTTGCAGCACCATCATTTATAGGTCCATAGATTATACATAGCCAAACTCCTAGTGATGCTGTTCACATTAGAATATAATATGAATAACCTCTACCTGGCCATATCCAATTAGGGTTTATATTCTAAGAGCACAAAAATAATGTTTACCTTGCTTAATGCAGTATGCTTAGTATTTGGCTTACCATCTGGAACACAACAGTTTATCAATAAATATTTTGAAGAAATTCATAAAGGTTTATTGGATGTGGGAAGTAAGACAGAGAACATTCTAGAATGACTCCAAGATTTTTCACTTGGTTGTCTGAGTGGATGGTGATTGCATTTATCAAGATTTAGAATGAGAAACATTTGGATAAGGAGTTTCCATAGATAAAGCTTACAGTGCCTATGCAATATCCATTGGATATCATAGTAGGTATTGGAGATATTTGTGTCAGCTGTGAAGAATGATGTGAGTTGGTGAGAGAGACATTTGTAAGATTTCAGAGCAGAAGGTGTGCTTCTCAGGATATGCTTGATAGAATCACCCATTAGGAAAAGGTGGCAAGAAAGGCATTTGTGGAAGAACAATTATGCAAGCAGAAAACAAAGAAGGCAGCCAGATAAAGAAATGTTTTAGAAGCCAAATTGTGGCATATTTCATATATGTGTAAGTGATTAAATTAAGCAAGTCTTAGGTGAAGTGACCGAGATTTAAGCCTAGATCATAGTTAGGAGAATGGATGCTAAGAGCTGCATTCAAAACAGGTGGCAGGAGAAACATTTGAAGAATTAGTGGGAATTTTGACTGAGATGGAAAAGCCTAGTCATTTTAACTAGAAAGGAAACAGTATGGAATTTGTTCTGGTATTTCTTCTTGTAATCTGAATCTGAATATAAACGGCTCCAGGGCTCCTGGTTTGGGATCAACACTTATTTTATCCCATTGCTATCAGATGAACTGCATTCTAAAGTTCTCTGTGATCAGTACTATCTCTTGTGGTCCTTAGGAATGCTCCATCACTTCTGTTTGACCTTTTGAAGTGACACTACTACCATTTCTTTTTTCTTCCTTGGAGGGATATAAAAGCTTAATTATATAGAATCTTTGAGAAGCTTAGATTCCTGTGAGTTTAATATTGACCTATTTCTCAGTTTTGTTATGAATAATATCAAACAAAAGTGATTATGAGGCATTTAAAAAATAGAGCAATGAATAGAAATGCTTATAAAGAATAGCTGAGTTGGACTATGCCATTTACTGATTGCTTATTATTATGCAAATTCACTCACTAGACTTGCAGGGAATCACTTTAACCAATCTAAAAACTAAATATATGCCCGTTGAAAGAGTTTAGGTGGTATTTATTTTCTTTGCTGATAGCCACATTTTTAAGGGGCAACTTAATAACATTAGAATTCAGAAGTGAGAGCAGAAATGATGATGAGTTTAGAAAATAAGACCCACGAGAAAGCGTTAAGGGACTAGCTGTAGAGAAAAAGAGAAGACAATAAATTGCAAATCTAGAGCCTACTGTCTCTTCTAAAATTATTAATAGATGAGAATGGAAACAAATCCATAATTTGAACAGAGAGAAATACATGACTTAAAAACACTGAATTGTTGAATATTTCTTCTTTTTTAATTTTCTGGGGTTTTTTTAGTACTTGTGAAACAGTGGCTTCTTATTTAATATGGTGAAA